TATATATATATATATATATATAATAACTATAAAAACAAAGTAACAATTTGTACTCTGACTAGAATAGTACTGAATTAGTTTCAGAGTATTTTGAACAAGATAGCACGACACAAATTTATCATGTTCCTGGTTTTCATGATAAATGTAAAATGTATAAAATGTATCTTAAAGATGCAAAGATATTCAAATTATAAGAATATTACATTGCAGTTGCAAATAAGTAACTTCATCACAATGTTTTTCGCTTCTAAAAATGTATTATTGGAGAAAAATGTTATTCTCAAATGGAAGTGGACTAGAAAAAACATTATAAACATTTAAGTAAATTATGTTTCCTTTTTCTCAGAATAAATCTTTCCACCTTCTACAGGACTATAATAAAAAGACATTTCATCGAATTCTGATGCAGTTGCATGTGGTGCCATAGCAGTGTACAGTGCATAATGTTCAGCTTCTGTTAATTCAATTCCATATGGTGGTGTTTCGTCTCCTTCCAATCTGAGTGATTTTACGCTAGCAGTACTTATTGTACTAGGTCTTAGAATTTGTAATTGTGAATTACTTGGAGTATTGTTTGTTGATATATGAGAAACATTTCCTGTAGAACTCAAAGGCTGATTATTTTCTTTGGATACATTTGAAACTATATCTTTATCTTTCTTTGCTTTCTTTGTAAACAATTTTGAAAATAGTCCTTGTTTTGAATTTTTAGTTAAAGTACCAGGTGGAGAAGGTAAAGTTTTGTTTGGAGCTTCGATGAAAGAATCATGTGTCGTATGAGATGATATAGGACGAGGTAGAAGTGGCATAGAAGGCATTTTGCGGATACGTTTTGGCGGTAAAGGCGGTAATCTCTCTTCCGTTTCCTGCGTTCCTTCTCTTTTTGTAGTTACTGGAGGGAAAATACAAGATAGATTGACATCCGTTTTTGGTACACATACGTCCTCGTACTTTCTCTCGTTCGGTAAATCAACAAATTCAATAGGATTTTTCATAGCCATTTGTAAACTGGTGTAAGTTTGATTATCGCAAACGTCAATATCCATAGATTGATCCGTTGTATTTTGTTCAAAAGCTGCTTGTACCAATTTTGCATGTGTATCTGCATATATTTGGTCTAATTCAGCTACTTGTGATAATAATTCATTGAAAGACTTATTGCAATCCTCTGTTATTTCAGTTTTAAAATCTGCTTCGTTGTCTTTTTCTTTGAGGCATATTTGACCCTTTTGTACCCATTTGTCCACTTCCGAGTAGTCGAACCAATCGGAATTATTTTTTGGTATTTCAGTATGCTTTAATACGCATACTGTCTTTTCAGTGGTACTATCAGATTTAGTACGAGTTAAAGTTCCGGAATTATTGTCATTTGTTTTTTTGTCTATATAACTACTATCAATTTTATAAATTTTATTTATTTGTTCATTTTCTGTAGTTCGTTTCTCTTCACTAATTGGTATTTCGTTATTTTGATAATCTATAATAGTACTTTTAGTATGACTTATATTTTGTTTCATTTCCATATTTCCAATACAAGAATCTAATGTATTTTTTACATTATACAAATCATTTAAGGCACGTAACGCAGAAATTTTGTTATACGATTTTTTTACATTGAAATCATCATTATTATTATATTCATCGATATTACGCGCGAATTTTGGGGCAACGTTTGAAAGTAATGCTGATTCAGTGGCTAAAATCTTACTAAATGTACTATAATCTGTTTTTTTCCTGGCAAATGCTTTCCGTAAAGACCAGAAAGCAGGCCTACCTGCACCAAGGGGTAACATTTGAAAAGGTAATGGCTCGCTTGTCGCACCATCCGATGGTCTTTTAAGTTGAATATATACTTGCACTGGCTGCTCCACTTGCTGTATACGATATGTGGGTGTTCTGAATGCAATTGCTGTCTATTAATATAAATGAAATTATTAAATTAATGATGATGTAGAATACATAAAATATATAATTCTAAACAAACATTAAACATTGTACGTACTTGTTTATGTACATGAGCAGGTTGAAAATCACCAATTCCTTCCCAAACCACTTGTCCATCCTTCTCTTCAAAAAATCTAACTTGTATATCTTCTTTCGCAACTTTCTCGCATAACAAGATCATTTCCATACCACCAGCGACTGATGCACTACAGTGACTGAGCTTGCATATCACAAGATCTGACATTGCCTCTGAAATATTTCATTATTTAAAACATGATTAAATAATGTTTTAACACAAAGTATACAATTTTTATCACTTTAACGTACTTTTATCAAATATAGGGTCAGATACAATCGGTGACAGTGGCACATTAAATTTTCCTTTTTGTGTTCCTTCCAAAAAAACTTGAAAGCACAATCTTACTGCATTTAAATCAATGCTAGTAGGTTGTTTTTTGTGTTCGAAACCAGCTATTAAAATAGTAAAATATATTAATTTTATCTTAAATATATTTAAATATATTTACATAAATTTATTTAATATTAAATTTAAATATATTAAACATATAACTAAATTTTAACTTACTTCGAAAAGGATCTACGCGAATTTCTTCTCTTATTTTAAGTGCTTCTTCTATGTCCTTTTTCTTGACACATTGAATACCAAGATTTGCAAATGTGACTGTCATATTTTCTGGTGAAACTTCTACTGTACAAACACCACGTTTACATGATTCTTTCCCAACAAGATTATGAGGGTGAGGTCTATGTGGTCGATCTTTTGTTACACATGATACTACAACTACAGCTCGACCTTTATATCCAACTATCTGTAATCAATTGTATTATGTATTATGTATTGTAATATTATATTAATTCCAAACACATTTTAGTTTTCATTTTTATTACTTACTCTTATACTAGGAAATGTTTTGTTTTCTGGTGTACTATTTATACCAGGTATACTACCAGCTGATCTACCTTCACATTCATAGCGAAAGCGTAAAGCTTTACTTGCTGGCTGTTCTATTATTTCAACATATGGCAATATCCTCCCAGTGTTCATTTCCACTTGCAATTGATCCTCCTTTTCACTATACTCCACGAACCCAGGATCAGTAGTTTGGATGACTTCAACTATATTGAAAATATTTTGAATACACTCCCAGAAATTTAATATAAAGTTCATATAAAAATAGAATAAAACTTTTAATACTTACTGACATCACTTATATTTATATTTTC